TCGGGTTGAAAGCTATTCCAGTTATTATTCGCTTGCTCTTTTTCTCTTAGCTCAGATCCATACCTATCCCATTCCCCAGCGGTTTAGGAGCTGATTTCAGATTTGGACAAAAAGGCCAAATCCGTATGCAACTCAGTAAAATAGCAGAAGGCACTTTCTTTCCTCAGACATTCTACTCCTTGGATCCTCTGGTGTGTCCAAAAATGGGGACCATGTCCTCTGGCCTTTGTGATCTTGAAGGACCTCTACAGAGGTTCAGAGGTTTTATCTCAGAAGAGGCAGAAACACCAAAAGCAGCCATTTTGACTTCAGATTTCTCTTATTGTTGCTTTTTATAGTTATTGGAGATCTGCCTTAGTCAAGAGTCTAGAACAGGGTTGGCTAACCTTTGGTTCTCCAAGTGTTGTTGGACCAGCTCCCAGAATCCCTGACCATTGACCGTGATCTGGTGGGAGTTGGGAGTCCCAACACCCAGAGGGGGCACCATATGGATTACCCCGGTCTCCATGCTAAATTCAGTTCTGAAGCTGGGCTTACACACTCTACATGCATTCGGCTCAAAGAGTTTGGAAAGTGGGGTGGAGGTGATTGTAGAATCTGATGAAACCCCTAGATTAGGATTGAAACCAGGGTTCCTGTAGACGATTGGTAGCTTTTAGTACTGTTCTTTATTCATATTATTACAGAATTTTATTGGGAGATCAGATTGTTCACCAAAGCTTGGGAGACAGCTGCTTCTGCAAAAAAATACACGTTTGTTTAATGATAACTTTCAAAAGTGTGCAGGACTTTCATGTTCTGAAATTCCTTAACCTTGTAAACATAAATTTCCTTTCAGCTGAACATATTCAGCGCCCGTGTGACTGACAACATCTATACCTACTGCAGCATAATAATTACAATAGCCATTTGACTCCTATGTCCTTGTTGGAAGGCGCATAACGTTTCCTGCGCAGAATGGACTTGACTCTCTTTCCAGCAATTTCGTAGTACTTTGATAAAATAATGCAGTAAAAGAAAATAGACATTTGTGGCGCTCTTGTTTATTTGGAATGCAAAAACCTAATTAAAACCTTTGCAGCATGTTTCAACACCTTGATACTGACACAGTGTGGTAACTTCAGCTACCATTATAAACGTTTTGCATAAATACTCTATACTCATATTTAGAATTCTCACTAAATATAGACATTCCTCTGAGGCTATAAAAAAGATGGTTGGGAGGTTCTAGAAACTGCCCATCAGAAGCAAATTCTGTGTTTATATCCTTTTGAAGAATAACAAACTCTCTTAAATTTTCTTGCTATTTAAAACCCTTTTAATATTTAAGACAGAACTAGGAATGAGAGATCTTCCCCAGTGCCATTAACATTTCCTTAGTATTTAAAGGTAAAGGTACCCCTGCCCGTACGGGCCAGTCTTGACAGACTCTAGGGTTGTGCGCTCATCTCACTCTAGAGGCCGGGAGCCAGCGCTGTCCGCAGACACTTCCGGGTCACGTGGCCAGCATGACGAAGCTACTCTGGTGAGCCAGAGCCGCACACGGAAACGCCGTTTACCTTCCTGCTAGTAAGCGGTCCCTATTTACTTGCACCCGGGGGTGCTTTCGAACTGCTAGGTTGGCAGGCGCTGGGACCGAGCAGCGGGAGCGCGCCCCGCAGCGGGGATTCGAACCGCCAACCATGCGATCGGCAAGTCCTAGGCGCTGAGGTTTTACCCCCAGCGCCACCCGCGTCCTTAGTATTTATAATAATAATAATTTGTTATTTATACCCAGCCCATCTGGCTGAGTTTCCCCAGCCACTCTGGGCGGCTTCCAACAAAATATTAAAATGCAATAGTCTATTAAACATTAAAAGCTTCCCTAAACAGGGCTGCCTTCAAAAAGTCTGGTAGTTGTTTTTCTCTTTGACATCTGATGGGAGGGCGTTCCACAGGGCGGGTGCCACTACCGAGAAGGCCCTCTGTACTGGACTGAGGCCGTTTAGGGCTTTAAAGGTCAGCACCAACACCGTTGTTTTGGCTGTTGATTTCTGCAGGTGCCAGCTATATGTGTGGAGCAGGAACCACTCCTCACCATCCTGAACAAGGGCTCCTGTTTACTTCTCTGGCAACAAATCAAACTTGGGTCACTTGCTGTACTTCCTTTATCACTGATAAAACCATTTTAAAAGATTGTAGTTACTCAAGAGAGCCCGTAGTATTCCACAAGTTCCTTAGTAGCACACAGTGCCTGCAATTTAGTCCAAGTTACTTGGGAGTAACACCCAATCTACACAGTGGGGCTTAAACCTTGGGTAGACATTCATAAGATTGCCCTGTGCATTTGAGGTTTCAATATTTTATTCTGTGCAGAGCATGGCCCGCAATACTAAATGATTAAATTAAGAAAACTGTGATGAACTTTCCTTATATTTCTTTTTCCAAGATGATGTAAGAAGCACAAAAGTGCAAGTCAAGCTCATGAGTTTGGGGAAAACAACTCTCCCATTTTATTTAAAACTATATCCCATAGCATCACTGAATGAATTTGGCAATCATCAAATATGAAAAATAAGAGTCCTGCTTCCAAAGAGAAATCTTATAGGGGCTTATAGCTTTGTTTACAGATTAGTAGGTTTAAGGCTGAGGTGTTTTCCCAGTGCTCCTGAGGGATTTTGGGATTGAACTTCTGTCCCTGTATGCATAAAGCATATGATTTGACACCAAGCACCATCCACCCTTTCCAGTCCAATCCCCATTTCTATGAATCAGGTTAAATCAAATGGTACATATTCAGAACTCCATTCAGCACTTCGCTCCCAGTAAAAGTAAGTGTGCATAAAAGAAACCCTAAGATTACATTTAACCGTTTTGCTGTAACAGGATCACCTTGGTGTAATATTTAACATTTTGCTCAGTTACACCTGACACACATGCGTTAAACTCCTGAAGTACTTCTGAAGCATTTTATTGTGATGCTGTAAAATTTAACATAAAGGCTGGTGCACACAGTCTGTCAGAAAACAAGAAATTGCAAAGTCTTAAGGATTCATGTGATGCTACTGGAGCCTGTCTTGAGAAATAAACATTGAACAGAATGGCCCCTGCAGCACTGTGGAATAGATATATTTGGCTTTCCTTCCCTCTCCTACCACAAAAAGTGAAAGAATATGAGCACTAAGTGACTCTAATAATGTCAGCCCCCAAATACTCTCCAAATAAGCACTTGGGTGACACAACTTAGTTTTTTTGTTCAGAACAAAAAGCTCCTTTAGAGAAAGAGTACCACAATAAATACCCAGTAATAATTATGATCGTCAGTAGAAATGTTTGTTTGCAAGATCATGGTTTGTAGGGTGTCTAGAGGGGAGAATAACTCTCCCATGGAAATAATCTCCTTTCCAGGAATATTTCTGTCATTAATGGTGTTAACTGGGATTCTCTGCCATCCACTCCCCCCCCCCCCCCGCATGGGCATGTAGATAGATGCAAGAGTCACTTATGGAGAGGAGTTACCTATGTATCTCAGATGCAACTGTCCCAGGATGTGGTAGCTAATCACAAGGTCCACTTCAGACTAGTGGTTGCATTCTCCTGAATGCAGCCACCTGCTTGAGCGTGTGTTGTAGTCGTTGGAATCCTGGGCTAGGAACAGGGAGACCAGACTAAGTTCCCATTCAGCCTTGAAGCCTGCTTGTTGACATTGGGCCAACAGCCCTCTTCCAGCATCGTCTGCTACTGCAGGGTAGCTATAAGGACACAGCGGGGTGGGAACGGTGTATTCTGGCCCTGCGTTCCTTGGAAGGAGACTGGTATTGGTAGCTGTCCCGCAAGAGGTGTGATGCTGCAGCAGAGTCATGTGTCTCCCGTGCTGGGATGAGATTTAAAAATCCGTCGGCAAACGTGCTGCAGGAGTGAAAGCTTCATTCTTGGCATAGATCACTTAATAGGGAACTCATCCACCAGAAATTGAGCGGGAACATGAGAGAGGTATTGGCATTCTTAGGGGAACCCCAAGGTTTTCAGAAGTACAAGCACCTTAAACTATGCAGAGGCCGAAGAGCCCAGCGGGGACTGAGCATGTTCAGTAGCCAGAGAATGTGTCTTGTCAGTTGAAACCTGGGGGTGGGAGAAGGAGGCAGTGGTCCTGCTGGGGCCTCTTAAAGCAGGGGTGAAGAAGTGGCCCTCCAGGCCTCTTATCTGGCCCTTGGAACACTTCCCAGGCCACATCCCTTATTGGCCCTGTTTCACTTGAACTTTGATCGTTCCTCTTCCTTGTCTGGATAGAGGAGAGATGGGTGTGTGTGAAGAAACCAGTCTGCTGTGCAAAGGTAAAATTCACATTCTTTGCTCTGTTTACTTTTATTCTGGCCCCTCCATCCGCTGGCCTGTGGCCCTCAGAAGATTGTCTGGAAGGAAACGTGGCCCTTGTTGTGCAAAGGGCTCCCTGCTGCTGCCTGACAGCTCACAGAATCCTGCAGAAGGGCGTAGTTGGCTGGAAAGAACCCTGAACCAGAGCACTTCTACTAAGAGAGTAGGGTATACTTTGTGAGTTCAGATTTGAAGTAATGCTGCTTGTGGTTCCATGACTTTCCAGCTGAAACTGAACAGAGATTAGTGACTCTAATAGAGCACCTAACTTCAGCTGCTTTTCAGGTTAATAAGCCAATCACTGTATATTTTCAGGGGCAGTGGTCTCTTGGGGATGAGGCCAGGCATCAGGGTCCCTTCAAAATGAAGACTGACCACTTGCATTTAACGGGAGCTCCAGAGCCTGTCAAATCTCCATCAGACGTCAACATGCAAGACACTTTCTATCAAGTTGCTTGGATACCATATAACGTATTTTGGTGAATAGTTCCCTCTTGCCAATTTTATAATACTGTTTTTTTGCAGATCTGAAATTTGTCGAACTCGGCTCTCCGTATGCAAATGCTTATGATGCTGCCATTAAGGCAAACGCATATACTTTATTTTTATTTTTTTAAAGTGTCTCCTTTTTTCTTTTCTTTTGGCAGCCTGAGGAAGAGCTTGATCCTGAAGAGAGGGACAATTTCCTCCAACAGCTTTACAAGTTTATGGAAGACAGAGGTAAGACTTGACTGCCTTTTAGAATGATGGAAGCTCTGAACCTAGTGTGGAAGTTCATTTTAACAGTGCTATATTTGCTGATTGTGCCGAATGCTTGTGATGTGCTCTGAATGCTGTTGAGACCACATTCCTGTGCATTCAAGGGGAAGTCCCATTGAACTTGGAGACATTTACTTCAGAGTAAATGTGCAAGGCATTTGGGCTGGTGTTTACAAACGTTAAGCATCACTATCACCTAAAACGAATCCTCTTAAGCAATCTTACTGCAGTAATGAGTTTGCAGCAGCATGCGAGAGAGGTGAGGCATAGGTATCTGCAGGTATGTGGGACCCTTTTTGGGGTGGAATATGGGCACTGTCAGATGACCAATTTATTGAGCATTCATCCTGACTTGTTTGCGGGGAGGTTACAAGACATTGCATCAAAGCAAGTGTTATCCCACATTTTCCCGTGTCTTTCCTTACTGCAAAATGTCAATCTTTGGGGGAAGTGGGTTTGTTGTGCAGGACCTCTCAACCAACTCTAGTTGCACAACCTGAATTTGCCGGTATCTGACAGAGTCCCACCTGATAATAGCAAGCATCTGAAAACCCCCTATATGTGTGCACCAACATATTGAAGTATACCCAGAAGGTTATAGAAAGCCAAATATAGAAACGTGTTGATACTGTAGTTATATGTTGTTCTTGTATGTACATGAAAACCAATACAAATTATTTGGATTAAAACAAAAACACACACACGCTGTAATGTGCTCCCAGTGACCAATTCTTCCAAATTTGATCCACTGTGCTTGGTGCATGTTGTGGCCTGTATCTTTTCAAGGGCCAGTCTTCCATCATGTTTGCTGTGGGTAGTCTAGGTTCAAGAATACAAAAGATTAAAAGCTGGCTTGTCAGGTCCAAATTCATTGCAGTATCAATGAAATACTCCTTATATTCACTGCAGCTTGAAGTGCCAGGCAGAGTGATAGCAAACTAAAGCGCTATATGCTGTGAAAGCAGCCAGTGAGCATGATTGTTTGCCATCATGTTGTTAGCCAATTTAAACCTGTTGTCATATGTTTGCGTTGAGCTGATCCAAGGTCAAGGGGTTTAATTCGCATGAATGGTTCCCACATTGAAAAAGGGATATTATTATCATTTTATTATTATTATTAAAATTGTTTTTATTTAAATTTCTACTGCCCTTCATCTGAGGATCACTGGGCGGTTTACAATATTAGTGTTTCAGTTTGCCTGGGATTCTGAGGTTGGCTGGTTGGTTTGCAACTAAACCATCTTAAGGTTGGTTGAAAAGGACAGACAAGACATTGAATTGCCTTCCTCAGTGCAAATTGTTGTCTGTTCATCACCAGGATGATGAAGAGAAGCTTGCTTGTATTTCCAGGCTCATAGAACTTAGCGTATTAGCATTAGCCAAGGCTTCAAAAATCTCTTGCCTTGCACAGCTACAAATTCTGAAATGCATAAAATTGATCATTTTTAATCCTTGGCAACAGTGCTTGGCTGATGTTGCTGTCTCATGTAACATCTGTCTCCAATACAGTGTAAAATACTGGGCAACTAATTACTGTTGCTGAACTAATCTAATACCTCATGGGAGGAGAAGCCCCAGTTCATTTTTGTTTGTGGGAGGTTCCTGGTTCAATCCGTAGCAGCTTCTGTTTAAAAGATTTCTGGTAACACAGTGCTGGACTAGATGAATCTGTTCTCTGTGTATAAGGCTACTTCCTGTATACTCATATATTAATGTCTTGCTGTGGGTAGCATAGATCAACTGCCTAGAGAGATCCCTGCTACAGAACAGGATCTGTCTAGGAATGCTTGCTTTGGATGCTCTCTGCTGGTAAATGATGGAAATGGAAATGACTTCTGGAGATTTCTCATTTGGATTTGACATTTAATTTCCTGGCATCATGCTCTGAAAATCTTAAAATCTCAATTACCAGTAACCATCCATTATAACAGCATGCACATATTTAAGGGTGGTCGACTTCATGGGGCCACTGCATATTTTCATTTTCTATAATAAATCCTGGATTGCAGATTATATTTTTGCAGTGGGGGGGGCTGTATTTTTTTCTTTCCAGTTTGTATACTGCTAATTGCAGTTGTCTCTAAGCAGCATACAGGAGACACAATGCAATGAGACTAAAAATGAGTTAAAACATAAAATAAGAATTGAATGAAAATACCTTCTAAAATTCTTTTTAAAAGGATTCGGTAAGCACTGGAAGTACTTTAGGAAGAAGGCCTGTCTGACACCAGCTAATAGAGAGTTCCACAAAATACTGGTCATGCAGATCCTTATGGATATGAGCCCTGTGGGACCATGCTGAGATTCCCGCATTGCAGGAGGTTGGACCCTAGATGACCCTTTGGGTCCCACCTTACTGTACGATTCTCTGACCACCAACAGTGACTCCACTGAAGACTTTGGTGATCAAGCAGAGATACAAGGGCCTTATTTAGGGCCTTGTAAATTATTGCAATACTTTGAACCTGGCCCAGGATCAAATGGGCAACCAGTGTGACCTTCTGAGTCCTGAAGGACTCAGTGCTGGGGATTGCCTGTCCCAATCTACCATCCACAGTGTTTTCCACCAATTTGAGTGGTTTTCTATAGTTGAGCCTTGGTCCTAATTGGACCTAATAAAATACTAGGCTGCAATCCTGATTCCACTTTCCTAGAAGTAAGCCTGACTGTTAAGATTGTGCTTTTAAGCTCTTAATGGTCATTTCACCCTCCATTTTTTGCTGCTTGTATCCTCAACTCTTAAAAAAAATTATTCCTTATTTGCAAAAAATGATTCTGTCAAATTACTAATTGATTGTTGAGTCTATTTATGCCCCACTCCGGAAGGGAGAAGAGGTTGGAATTTCCATTACCTTTAAAGGTGACATTTAACTTGACACATCATTATCTTAAAGCCAGTCTGTATCCTATTTAGAAGAATCTGTTTTACCAAAGCAGGCACCAGGTATCAACTTCCGCTTCGAGATGCTCACAGCCAAGCAGTTAGAAGAAGAAGCCTATAATGTAGCCATGCAAATAACTTACCAGCCAAATAATAATAATAATTCACTTGCCAACATTTGTTGCTTGATTGTGGTCTAACAGGCTGGAGGGGAATAATGGGACCAGCCTGGGTGCCTCGAGATGACATCAGGCAAGTGGCTATGTATAAGCTGTAAAGTGTAGATACGTGCTTTAGAGTAAAAGTGCAAAGCCTGTGTAATAAATGCTTCTTTTGATATCTCTTTTATATTAATTAGGAACTCCTATCAATAAGCCACCTGTTCTGGGCTATAAGGATCTTAACCTCTTCAAACTTTTCAGACTGGTATATCAGCAGGGTGGGTGTGACAATGTAAGTATGGCATTTCTTAAAGCTAGCCTTTAATTTCAAGCTAACATTGTTTTAGTTTTCTATTTAATTTATATATGTGCACTACTGCACTCCTAAAATACTTCTCTACCTCCCGCACAGATTGATAGTGGAGCCGTATGGAAGCAAATTTATATGGACCTTGGCATTCCTATTTTGAACTCCGCTGCTTCCTACAATGTAAAAACTGCTTATAGAAAGTAAGTAGTCTCTCTTTTTATTTAAGGTACAACTACTCAAAACTTACTTAGACCCGAAGGAAATCATAAGCAGGATTTGGCAGGGGGAGGAGGCAATATAGACAATAGCAAGGGGGAATATCACTAACAATAACTTCACGGTGCTGTACAGGTTTTTAGCTACTGTACATTTTTCTGTCTTGCTAACTCAGCAGTCCCAACTGCTGTCTGCTGTGGCTAACAACTTAAACTTCCAAATGTAATACTACATTTAAAAGCAAAATGGTAAGTCGGCGGCAGCTAGAATTTATGGCCTCATTTGGGCAATCATATTTCTGCTTAGTTAAGCCCTAAGTACAAACAAGCCTTGCATCTCCTCCTATAATCCCTTTGCTCCTCCCTTTACAGAAGCGAGCAAACTAGGAGAGAGACTTCAACTTAACTTAGAGTTTTGCATTATGTCCATACTGGGAAATAATAATAATAATAATAATAATAATAATAATAATAATAATAATAATTTATTTAATTATACCCCGCCCTCCCCATCCAAGGCCGGGCTCAGAGCGGCTTACAAGCAATAATAAAAACAAGAAGAATGATTACAACTTAAAAACAAAAATAAAATACAACATTAAAATAATGGAACATTAAAATATTAAAATGTAGCCTCATTGCAGGAGGAGAAGGAAAAGAAAAAAGAAAGAGAGGGAGGGAGGGAATCAAACTGGCTCCAAGCCAAAGGCCAGGCGGAACAACTCTGTCTTACAGGCCCTGCGGAAAGAAATCAGATCCTGCAGGGCCCTGGTCTCATGAGGCAGAGCGTTCCACCAGGCCGGGGCCAGTGTTGAAAAGGCCCTGGCTCTGGTTGAAGCCAATCTAACTTCCTTAGGGCCTGGGACCACTAGGGTGTTGTTAATTATGGACCTTGAGGCTCTCCGTGGGGCATACCAGGAGAGGCGGTCCCGTAGGTACGAGGGTCCTAGGCCGTGAAGGGCTTTAAAGGTCAAAAGCAGCACCTTAAATCTGACCCTGTACTCTACCGGGAGCCAGTGCAGCTTGAAAAGCATTGGGTGAATATGCTCCCATGGCAAAGACCCCGTGAGGAGCCTCGCTGCAGCATTCTGTACCCGCTGGAGTTTCTGGGACAGAAATGGTGATTAAATGGCTTCAGGACAAAACGGGATATTAAGCCATGGTTTGAAATTTTATAGCTTGGCCTTTTTCTCTTTTTTTAAGTGTTGAGCTTCTTGTACCCTGCTTAGAAACTATTGTAATTAAGTGATATATAGATTGTGGAAATAAGGAAGTCAGTACGAATGACATGGGGAAATTGTAGCTAACTGAAGACTTCCTCTGGATTTATTTATTCATAAACCGCCCTTTATCCGACGATCCCAGGGCAGTGTACAACATTAAAAACATAAAATGCATAGCTTAATAAAATAAAATAAAAACTTTAAAACAATTGCAGAAAAAACGTATCCTCAACAATTCTCCCCACATTAAAAATGCCATAGATTGTGTTTTTGCCTAGCACCTAAAGACATGCAAGGATGGTGCCAGGCTGACCTCTCTAGAGAGAGCATCCCACAGTCCGGGAGCCACCTCAGAAAAAACTCTTTTTCTTGTTGTCACCCTCTGCACCTCACAGGGAGGGGGGACAGACACAGAAGGGCCTCAGGTGACAAGCACAGGGTCTGGATCGGTTCGTACTGGGAGAGGCAGTCCTTATTTATCATATCAAGTGAAGGAGCTGCATGCGCGACCACAAGGCTCATTCATATCTCTGCTTATTACCCTAGGATATGGCTACCCGAGCCAGCCTAATAAGAATCACATTTCCAAGAGTCCTCTGTGCACTGAGCAGCCATATGTCAGGACACCAGGAAGTCAGAGGGAAACCTTCTTCCCACTGTGACTGAGGATTAAAATTGGAGGGTGGCGTGGGGGAACGATAGCGCTGCAATTGTTGGAAGACTTATTCTGTAGATCAGAACCTCCTCTTGTGTTAGAGCAGAACTTGAGGGTGTTAAAGGAGTTCGCGTTCTCCCTCTGTGCTGCCTAGGTGATGGAAAGAGCCTTATTTTATTTTATTTTTACATTGCCAATAAATTCCTTTTCCGAAACCTGTAGGTATCTTTATGGTTTCGAAGAGTACTGCCGGTCTGCGAACATTCAGTTTAGAACCATCCACCACAATGAACCAAAAATAATAGAAGCAGTACAGAAACCAGAAGAGCCAATGGAGGAAAGTGTAAAAGAAGAGCCAGAGATGTTCCCCATAGAGGTTCGCAATGAGGAGGATGAAAACGATTGCAGCAGTGAAAGTGAAAAAGAAGAAACTGAGCAGAGGTCTCCTAGGGTAAGACGTCCATCACTTAGAGCCTTGTGATACTAATTTATTATGTTCCACTTTGGAATGGAAATGTAATCCTATATGATTAGTTCTAGATATCTCTTTCTACTTTTATTTTATCTGACATCTGTTATAGCTTGCTTGGTTATAAGTAAATGGAAAGAAAGAAAAAGTACAGTAAAAAAGGAGGTTCCTACTCTTGCTTTCCCAGCAGGGGTTTAATTAACCAGCTATAGGCCAATGACTAGGGACGCGGGTGGCGCTGTCGGTAAAACCTCAGTGCCTAGGACTTGCCGATCGCATGGTCGGCGGTTCGAATCCCCGCGGCGGGGTGCACTCCCGTCGTTCGGTCCCAGCGCCTGCCAACCTAGCAGTTCGAAAGCACCCCTAAAGTGCAAGTAGATAAATAGGGACCGCTTACCAGCGGGAAGGTAAACGGCGTTCCGTGTGCTGCGCTGGCTCGCCAGATGCAGCTTTGTCACGCTGGCCACGTGACCCGGAAGTGTCTGCGGACAGCGCTGGCTCCTGGCCTATAGAGTGAGATGAGCGCACAATCCTAGAGTCTGGCAAGACTGGCCCGTACGGGCAGGGGTACATTTACCTTTACCTATAGGCCAATGAGAGTAAGCTAATGTTTGTTCTGGAAAAAGCTGGCAGCTCATTTCCTCCTGCGTTTTCTCAGTCCTGTTTTCCTCATGGTTGTATCTGTTGCTGCTCACGCTGCTTACGTGGTAACAGAATCCATGTTTTTAGATACCTATTCATAAAGCTGTGATGGTGGCTTTCAGATATATATTTTGCTTGTCCGTGAATTCCCTGGTGCGCCGCTAGTCAAGGAAAAACGGTTTAACTTAATACTGCAGCAATATATTGTGTAATCCTAACCTGCCTTGAAGGCAGCAATGCAGTTTAAACAGCATGCTTTCTTCTCCCTCCCTCTCCCCCCCCCAAAACCCCCCAACTATCATAGGGACGAAGGAGACTTGTTCGTGATGTCACTGTCACTAAAAAGGAAGGCGAAGATGATAAAATGCCGGACAAACTAAGAGACAGCAACAAGGAGAACAAAGATGTAGATGACATGTCCAGTAATGCAGAAAAAAGGGAAAATGAGCTGCCACTTGGAAGCAGAAAGACCACACCAAAGCAAAAGGAAAAGAAAGCAAAAAAGGAAGAGGAATCTGACAAGGAGTCAGATGAAGAGGAGGACAGGAGGCAAGAAATATGTCTTTACTCCTTCTACTTTTTGTTTGATGCTGTAGCACGCGAGTGTAAAAGTCTTGAAATTGGATACCCAGTGAAAATGACCCTTAATCCATGTTAAATTGCATCTCAAAAGGTGTCGTTTTATAGGGCAGGCTCAGTATAAGGACGTAAATGGACAAAGTCTTCATCCTTTTTAAAAAGCTGGCAGCTAACAAAGAGCTTGGTAGTATGATGGCTCCAAGAGGAAGAAGGTTATAGGAGGCTTCAGTGCCAGGGTTGGGGAATCTGCACCTCAAGATGTTGGACTACAACTCCCACCATCCCTGAATATTGGCCATGCCAGCTGGGACCAGTGGGAGTTGGAGTCCAGCAATACCTGAAGGGGCCACAAGTTCCTGCAGTAGCTCTACACAAAATTCCTGCCTTTTCTTTGGCGAAATAAATATATGCCAATTTCCATAGTTTCCCATTACCCGTAACCTATGAATCTTTGTTGTTGTTTAGTCATGTTCGACTATTCGTGATCCCCTGGACCAGAGCACGCCAGGCACTCCTGTCTTCCACTGCCTCCTGCAGTTTGGTCAAACTCATGCTGGTAGCTTTGAGAACACTGTCCAACCATCTCGTCCTCTGTCGTCCCCTTCTCCTTGTGCCCTCCATCTTTCCCAACATCAGGGTCTTTTCCAGGGAGTCTTCTCTTCTCATGAGGTGGCCAAAGTATTGGAGCCTCAGCTTCACAATCTGTCCTTCCAGTGAGCACTCAGGGCTGATTGCAGTCCATGGGACTCTCAAGAGTCTCCTCCAGCACCATGATTCAAAAGCATGAATCTAGGCTGCCTTAAAGCAAAATCCTTGGGTGTTCAGCTTTAGCAAAAAAAAAAATCCCTATCTAAGGTGACTTCCGACATCATAATCTGTGCTTGAGCACAGCTTATTCATCAGTTCCATCAGAAGGGAACTTTTTTTAGAATATGGATAAGAAGTGCTGTTGTGGTGCTGGGCTGTACTAGGCATTTACAGAAGGCATTTTGAAAGAGCTTCTTGTATAACAGTAATATATTTGTGTGCAGGGTTCTGTAAGATGTAATATTCAATTGATGTAGCTATTAGGATTGCCCTGTTTAATCCAGTTGATAAAAAGGTACGCCTGGTTTTATTGGGATTTATTTATTTACAAAATACGTAATAAAAACTGAAGGTAGCAAGCACCACCTAATGAGCCATTTATTCTTCCCCGCAGACGCAGAAGAAAGAAATCTTCTAAGAAAATATACTTCTGTTTTACCTACCGTATTTTTTGCACCATAACACTCACTTTTTTCCTCCTAGAAAGTAAGGGGAAATGTCTGTGCGTGTTATGGAGGGAATGCCTACGGGTGGCGGGGGGGGGGGGGATCTGCTGCAGTCGTGAGCAGAGAATCCATGGTTCCCCTTCCTTCCCTCCTCCGTGGCTCGCTTTGAAACAGCAAAGCGGGAGAAGAGCCGCTGAGTGGGGAGGAGAGCCTGCTTCTTTAAAGGAGCAAAGTGGGAGAGGAGAGGAGCCTTCTCCCCTTATACCCCTCTTCTTCATTATTAGCAGCATCCTTCTCCACCCACCCCACACGTGCTCCTTGTCCCTTGAGTGCTTTTCCTTCCCTCCCCACTTAAAACGTGGTTACAAAGCATGGATCCACATGGATCCTCAGGATTTTTGCATTGAGCTACTCCAAACTCACTGTCAGATCACATGTCTGTGGCCACAGCATGAACCACAAAAATCATACACCACTGTTTTGTTTAGAATATTTTTTTTCTTGTTTTCCTCCTCTAAAAACTATGTGCGTGTTATGGTCAGGTGCGTGTTATAGAGCGAAAAATACAGGTATATTCAGGTTTTAATTGAGTGACTAAAACTCATGATGATTTGATTTAAGGGGGTTGCTGCTCTAATTCCTATGCATCCTTTGGCTTCTCAGATAATTGTTTGGGTACAAATTCAAGCTGGCATTAGAACACCATGCAGTTGTGCACTTGTTTGTGAAAGGCCTTTCTTTAACTAGTAGGCAGTCACTTGAGAAAAGTACTCAGCAGTAACAAATTAAAATGAATGTCATGAAAGGCTAATCGCGACTTGCATTGGGATTGACTTGAGCGCTTCCCATCAGCTCCACTGTGGCTCTGTGGGATTGATTAGGTGCTTGCACAAGATTCATTACTTGGAAAAGTGCACTTTTGCCTGGATTCAGTTGCTGAGTCACTTTCATTCAAGGCAGAGGTTGGCAGTGCTGCATTGCCGCCATGCAAGCATAATGTTAAGTGAGGAGGATCACAGCTGCTGCCCACGTCTGGCCTCTAATTAGTTTGCATCCTGTTACCTGTCTTGCTGCAGGGAAGAACTCGAAAACCGAGGAGAATCGGAAGGAGAGGAGGGCGACGAAGACACAGAGCCTTGCCTAACGGGAACCAAAGTGAAAGTAAAATACGGCCGGGGCAAAACTCAGAAAATTTACGAAGCCAGTATTAAAAGTACAGAGAATGATGACGGAGAGGTTTTGTATTTGGTGCATTATTATGGCTGGAATGTAAGGTGAGGAGAGAAGAAAGTCAACCTTGTAATCTTGTTTTGCAGTCATATTGTAGTGGCAAATAGACGTTCAGGTGGACTACCTGAGGCCCTGCAGACAGGTGCCTTCAGTCCTGTCCCTCCTCCTCTTTTATCCTGGTGTGCTTTGATCAGGCGTGAGCATCGTCAAGTGTTTTGCCTGGGCTGTATTAGGAGCTGCTTCGTGCAGCCATTTTTAAAAGTCAACTTGGGATGAGTCAATGTGCCCCAAAAATGTTCGCTTAGGAAAATGAAACTGTCAGGAGTGCCCACACATGGTAAGATTTGATGGACAGCCTCTTGTTTACTCAGCAATGTTAAATGAAGACATGGCAAACCTTTGATGGTTTCCCTTTTCTTTATGGACACAATTGAACACTAAGGGCAATATCCAGGAGCAGGTGGCATATCCAGGCAGTGGGTCAGTGGGTCTGGTTGTTAACCAGAAGGTTGGTGGTTTGAGCCCACCTAGGAATAGCTGTGGCAGAATTTCCTGCATTGCAGGGGGTTGGACTAGATAACCTTTGGGGTTATCTACTGTACAATTCTATAATTCTATTATCGGTGCAAGGGTTTCTGCTAGCGCAGTGGAACTCCCCCTCTCTTTCTGCCACACACCCACTGTTCTGGAGTGTTCTCCAACCCTCTGGAGCAGATCTGGGGAGGTATGGGGCACAGAGAAGGAAAAACTGTAAAGCAAGAAAGAAGTTGAGATACATTAAAAATATATATATAACAAGTCATTGGACAGTTTCTTCATTTTGGAAAAAAAGAAATTTATTTTATACCTAGAAGCATTCAATATCTGAAATGACTACTGACTTGCTGGAAATGTTGGGATGTGCTGTTTATAGTTCACCTACTAACTAACCTTTTAAAATTAAAAAACATTTGGGGGGGTATGGTGCAAGACTTCCTTTGTAGGCTTGAAATCTAGGGGTGGGGATGCTTTTTCGGGTGAGGTTCTTTTTACAATTAGCCTTTGCTCTAAAGCCATTTTTAACAGGAGTAATAATTCTGCATGGTATGTTTTCCGTAGATACGATGAATGGGTGAAAGCTGATAGGATTATTTGGCCTGTGGAGAAGGGAGGCTCAAAGAAGAAGCAAAAGAAAAAAGCAAAAGTATGTAGCATTATTCAATAGCCTTATTTTTCTAAACAACCTTTTTATTTTCAAAAAGGGGACTTTTCCCTTTCTGATTACCCTTTCTTTCTGTAAATCCTTTAAAGATATGTTGCATAGTAGTAAAATGACCATTCGTATGTATCTGTGTTCAGAGTAAAGAAGAGAGTGAAAAAGATGAAAAGAGAGAAGAGGAGAAGCAAAAGGTGAAACGGGGGCGCCCTCCTCTGAAATCGACTCTTCTTTCAAACCTGTCGTGTGGTCTGCCCAAAACTCCTAATAGCGAAAGTAAACCAGGAGCCCGAAACTCGCGTGGCAGCCTGCCGGATTGCTCACCCTTGCCTAACGGGACTGAAGGTATTTCCAGTTCAGGACTGGGATTTTTGGTGCATGGTGTTTTACAAAGGCTCTTGAACAAGCAGCTAATGGTGCTTTTTAGGATGGCAAATCTTTTCTTATTTAAAAGGCATGAGGTGTAAAGCATAATGTGCTAATAATAATAATAGTTTATTATTTGTACCCCGCCCATCTGGCTGGGTTTCCCCAGCCACTCTGGATGGCCTCCAACAAAGATTAAGAATACAGTGGTGCCCCGCAAGACGAATGCCTCGCAAGACGAAAAACTCGCTAGACGAAAGGGTTTTCCGTTTTTTGAGTCGTTCCGCAAGACGAATTTCCCTATGGGCTTGCTTCGCAAGACGAAACGTCTTGTGAGTTCTTACGAGTTTGTTTCCTTTTTCTCAAAGCCGCTAAGCCGCTAATAGTCGTGCTTCGCAAGACGAAGAGACTCGCGGAACGGATTAATTTCGTCTTGCGAGGCACCACTGTACATTAAAATGTCACACATTAAAAACTTCACTGAACAGGGCTGCCTTCAGATGTCTTCTAAATGTCAGGTAGTTGTTTATCTCTTTGACATCTGATGGGAGGGCGTTCCACAAATAATGGACACACACACACACACACACTTGGAAAATAAATAAAACCTTTTCTTTGTTATGTTCTTGCTCCCAATCACTGATACACCCTCTTCCTTTAATTTTTAGGAATGTCTCGCAGGCAAACAAGACGTAGCTCAGGAATGTTGGATTCTGACAGAGGGTCAAATGGTGAGTAGATATTTTTTTTCATATGTTGTGGGAAGATGTATTATGAAATCTGGGGAGGGGGGAATGTATGTGAAGAGGATTGAGACAGGACACTGCCTGCAGTTGGGGAGAAGAGCAATACCTATTGCTTCTGTTGGCTCTTGATTACAGCCTTTCATGGTGTAAAACAGTGTGAATCTCATAAACAGATTCTTCATGCTTCTAATGAGACCTATTGTACTCTTGAGACAGAGCAGAGGGTGAAATGCAGCTGCGTCATTAGGTATGAAATACTTACACTTTACAGAAGTTTAACCTTCTGAATGCTCCCATCTCCCCAGTTATCATTAGCAATGAGAGAGGAGCTGTACTTTATTTATAGACACTTTCAAACTATACCTTTGTTCTAGCCTACTTTCTTTGTAGCTTTATTAAAATAATATTTCTCTTTACCGTATGGGGGGTATCCAACTAAGGTGACATTCACACAATACATTTAAAGCACTGTGATACCAATTTAAGCAGCCATTCTGGGAGCCATAGTTTGTTAAGAGTTCTGAGTGGAGACGTATTCCCTTCACAGAGCTACATTTTCCAGAGTTCCCTGTGAAAGAGGGATTGCTAAACTACTCTGGGAATTGGCCTTAGTCATAAGAATAGAACGATTGAAATCAATGGGCTTTGAATGACTTAAGTGCTGATACCAACTTTCATATGAAGTTGTGCCTTGACTACTTGTTCTGTGCTATGTGTGTATTTTTTTGTAGATTCGATTTCATCTGACAGTGATGCGGATGAAGCTTCTGAAAAGAATGCGAATGAAGATTTTTCTCCAGCCAATTCTGACCCAGAAAAAGATGAGAAACGAACAGTTGAAAAACCTGATGAAGAAATCCCAAAGATCTCACTTGTGCTGAAAGAGAATGACAGGAATCAGATCCACCCTTTGGAACCTTTGAAACTCGAAGTTGAAGAAAACGAACAAGTGGTTCAGATTTTTGGAAACAAAAGTGACCAAGTAGAAGATATCAAGAGAGAGATGGAAAAATCACCTAGAGCGAAAGGACGGCGGAACAGAACAAGAGACCCCTCCCTGGAGAATGTAAAGAGCACGCCACTAAACCAGGAAGAGGCAGCAAGCGAACATCTCTCGGATTCTGAAAGATTAGACACGTCGTCCTTGGACAGTAAAGGATTGAGCACCGCTTCTGAGAATGAAACAGATCCTTGTGCAAAAGATAAGAAGCTTTCGAAAAGGAAGACGGCGGAACAGCCATCCCCCGACAAACGGGTCCGGCTGGTGGGCGAGATGGAAGTGCCAAATATCGTGTCCGAGGGGAGGACAAATGAATGTTCTGGGACAGAAGAATGTAAGGACTTTGGTGCAGATGACTCGCTCAGAAACGAGAACGAAGAAATGCCATCACTGGTGGCGGAATCCGATCAGCGTCTTCAGGGTCGGGGAGGCGATCACTTCGATTGTTCCGACGAAAACCGCAACCCCGCACTGAAAGACGAGGACGATTCCATGCCTCAGATCGGGCCCGAAACTCTCCTCTGCCACGAAGTGGACTTGGACGACGTGGACGAAAAGGACAAGATCGGGCCTGAAAAGTTCATAGCAGAGAAGCCGGACTCCAACCACCCCACTTCGAACCCGCCTGCCTTACCTCCCGTGGTCCAGCCCAACTTCTCTGTGGCCTCTCCTCTCACCTTAAGTCAGGATGAATCACGGAGCATCAAGAGTGAAAGTGACATCACCATTGAAGTGGACAGCGTGGCTGAAGAGTCTCAGGAAGGTCTCTGTGAGAGCGAGTCTGCCAATGGGTTTGAGGCTTTCACTACTACTTCCAGCAACTGTAGCATCGCCATCCCAGAAAGGGAGATCGGGGAGAGGGGTAAGTGCCAACTTCTAAATGGAAACTTCATTTTGATGCTTCCATAAACTGGTTTTTGTAATCCACATGGAGGTTTGCTTACAATCAAGCAGAATATAAATTTTGTTAAAAGTAAAATTCCCTCTCTTCATAAACATGCTGAAAGCATGACTTGCAAAAACCCTGAAGGATTAGAAGCAAGGAGTCACATTTTGCTTAGTCATTCATTATTATTCTAATTTTATTTACAACATAAATCCACCACAACTCAGATAAACAAATCCACCACCGTTAGACATGAACATAACATAAAATAAAATAAAACAAACGACAAAATTAAAATCTTCCTTTATCCTGTACATGGCCTCCTTATTTACTTCTTATAAACTGTTTCCTTTATGAATTATTATTACGATTTTTTTCAAATTATGACTTTTGAAACAAGTCCAGGTGTGTATTTTAGGGCACTGTTTTGTAAAGTATTCTTTACATTTACAAGTATTCTTTACATTCTTTTTGGAATTCTTGTCTGGGGAGTCCCCTAATTGCCTCTTGTTAATCTAGCCAATTCGATATAATTTAGTAATTTATCCTGCCATTCCGTTTTTGTTGCTTAGCCGTTTATTTTTATCCCATCGAGGCAGCTAACAATAAAATAGGGGTTTGGGAGCAGGCGTATTGAAATTGGCTGCTGCTTGTAAACTAGCAGCACGTCGATATCCATCATCAGGAGCCCCCAATTCTGCTAGCCATGGCAAGTGTTCCCCTTTGCCCAGCCTGCATTTCAGTGATGCTCAGAGCAGCTGGAAGTTCAACGCAGCTTGAGGAGATGACTCCCCAATTCCAAGCTGGAGAAGGGAGCAAGGGCCTGTCCTTTTCATGCAGTTCCTTAGAGGTGCATTGCAAAAAAAATAAATTCATCCCTAGCCCATGGGGATCATCACCCCAGTTGCACTAGGCTTGTGTCATCTCCATACAGTGGTGCCTCGCAAGACGAAATTAATTCGTTCCACAAGTTGTTTTTTCTTGCGAGTTTTTCGTCTTGCGAAGCACGGTTTCCCATAGGAATGCATTGAAAATCAATCAATGCGTTCCTATGGAAACCGCCTTCAGACCAGGTCCGGGGACAGACCAAGATCGCCCGGAACAGCGGAGAAGTCTCCGCTGTCCTGGGGGCTTTTAAAATGCTGGGGGTCGGCAGCGAAGGCTTCGCTGCCGCCCGCCAGCATTTTAAGATCGCCCCGGGACAGCGGAGAAGTCTCCGCTGTCCCGGGAAGGCAGACGGGGGGGAGCAAAGACTTTTGCCCCCCGCCGGCCTTCAGAAAAGGTCCAGGACCTCTTCTGAAGGCCGACGGTGGGCGAAAGTCTTTGCTCCCGATGGCCAGCATTTTAAAAGCGGTCCGGGAAAGCGCAGCGCAATTCCCTGCTATCCCGGACAGCTTTTAAAATGCTGGCGGTGGGGAGCAAAGCCATTCGGCCCCCGCCGGCCTTTCTGGACCTCTTCTGAAGGCCAGAGGGGGGCGAAAGGCTTTGCTCCCCACCGCCAGCATTTAAAAGAGGTCCCCAGAGATTTCCCTATGGGCTTTCTTCTTGCGAAGCAAGCCCATAGGGAAATTCGTCTTGCGGAACAACTCAAAAACGGAAAACTCTTTCGTCTTGCGAGTTTTTCGTTTTGCGAGGCGTTCGTCTTGCGAGGCACCACTGTAGTGCAATTGTGGCAACACTCATCTCTGTCCCTGTGCCAGAAACCAGAGAGGGGAATCAAGGGGGTGTCCTTGACCTTGCACCAAATTTTGGAGCCCCGGGTTCAAGTTCAGGGACAAGACCTTCTGGGTGGGGGAGGAGTGGCTTCCTAGGCAGCCACAAAAGCTGGCCAAAATGTGTGGGTCTCAATCTGTTATGTTTGTGAAAAATAAGCAGATTATGCTAAGCTGGTTCACATAGATGAAGCAGAGGCTTCGGTGCCAAGCTTGTTTGCCCCTGAATTCGCATATGACGCAAGTACATTTCAAGAGTTGTGTGGACGTGCTTCTTTAGAACTGCAGCCTTGCTCCCTTGTGGGAGTAATGCAGCCACAGTCTGTGAGGCATGCAGCTGGAGGTTATTTAAAAGGCTGCTAAGGCATGCACATCAGGGGGCCAGAATTCTGTATTTGAGGGGTGAAATGTATCGGGGAGAGGAGCTAGCCAAATCGTGACTTCTGTAGCACCACGATTGCCAAAATGACAGTTGCTGCTCCCTCTTCTTTAGCCTGATGAGTTGCAAGTCAGAATAATTTATTGCTATTTGTTGTTGTTGTTATTTATTTAAAGATGGTTGGCCCCGGAGTACCCAAAAAGATCTATAGAAATGTACCGGGGTTTTTTACAGAAATGCATCCTTGGAGGTTACTAGTGTAGTAAAGAACCCTTAAACCTCCTCAGACAGGAAGGCCACAAAGAAAGAACTAGAATGGTGAGGGCCTGGGCAGAGAAGTCAAATTGGCTGCTGCAGCTGTAATTGCTGAATGCTACCTCTTGATTCTGCTTCTGTTACTGGAATTGTATATTTTAATTGTATTTTACCAGTGACATGTTTGACACCCTGGGCTTCTTTGAGAGGAAGGGATCTAAGATATAAATTGAGATATAAATTAGCAATAGTGTTAGTATTCTCATTAGCTGCTTATTGTTTCTGGTCTCTTCCTGTTTTTTTCTCTCCATACCATTCTCACTTCCATTCCTTCCCAAGAATATACTGGGCGTGTTTTGTTTCTGTTTGCGGCACACTGTGTTTTGTCATCCCTCATGGTCTGGCTTGTCGTTATGGGGGTGGTTGATCCTTCCAGTCCTATGACTTTAAAGAGCTTAGTGGCAGTTCATTTGTACCATTAAAGACTGTAAAATGAAAAGGTACCTTTCATTTTATTTTCAGGTCAAAAAAGGCCTGGTGACAACAGCAGCAGCTCACTGGCCAAAAAGCAAAAGCGTACTCCAAAACGAGCAAGCACTGTAGCCAAAAATGAGAAGAATGGGACAGGTACGTTTCATAATCTTTCTCTGGAAGGGATTTTGCTCTGTTTGCTTAGTCCAGCTTTCTTGTTTATGCTGTGGTTAGGGAGGTGATTTAGGGAGGGCTGCATTGCCTATTTTACCCAGAAGGAGCTACTTTTGAACCCAGAACATGCTAAGTTGCAACCTTTGTTTATTAGATTTCTTACTGTCCCTTACCAGGATGGGTTAGAACGATAAAATACATAGTTATAAAACAAATGAAACATTTACAGCCAGAAAACAAGTGAAGTGTAAAAAATATTAATACAGTCCCACATATTCAAATCAGTTAAAATAGTTCTAATATATATGCAGGCCTAGGGTAAAGATCTCCACTCAGAAAGTGGAGAGGAAACCTTTCCCTAGCAATAGTGCAAAAGTTGTCAGGACAGAATGCATTCCTTGCATTATTTTCCAGTGTACTAAGTAGAGAGTCTAGGGACGCGGGTGGCGCTGTGGGTAAAACCTCAGTGCCTAGGACTGGCCGATCGTATGGTCGGCGGTTCGAATCCCCGCGACGGGGTAAGCTCCCGTCGTTCGGTCCCAGCTCCTGCCCACCTAGCAGTTTGAAAGCACCCTTAAGTGCAAGTAGATAAATAGGTACCGCTTTATAGCGGGAAGGTAAACGGTGTTTCCGTGTGCGGCGCTGGTGCTGGCTCGCCAGATGCAGCTTCGTCACGCTGGCCACGTGACCCAGAAGTGTCTCCGGACAGCGCTGGCCCCGGCCTCTTAAGCGAGATGAGCGCGCAACCCAGAGTCGGACACGACTGGCCCGTACAGGCAGGGGTACCTTTACCTTTACCTTTAAGTAAAGAGTCTAGATGGGGGCTGCTCTTCCACAGTATGGCTACAAAGCAGCTCATCTAATTGTAAAGGTGAACTTTAAATACCTGAAGGGTTGTCACATGGAAGATGGAGCATGCTTGTTTTCTGCTGCTCCAGAGGGCAAACCTGAACAATGGATTCAAATTACAAGAAAGGAGATTCTAACTAAACATTAGGAGGAACTTTCGGGTGGTAAAAGAGCTTTTCTGCAGTGGAGCGGTCTCCCTCAAGAGGTGGTGGACTCTCCTTCCGTGGAGGTTTTAAAGCAGTGGTTGGATGGCCACCTGTCAGGGATGCTTTAGTTGAGATTTCTGCATTGCAGGGGGTTAGACTAGATGAGCCCCTTGGTCCCTTCCAACTCTCTGATTCTATGAAATACTTTTTTCACTTGATTGCCTTCCAATAGAATTAGAGCTAGCAATACAAAGGCCTGTTGTTTTGCTATCATAGGCTTCAGTAAGAGCTGTTCGACAGTGGAATTTGCTGCCAAGGAGTGTGGTGGAGTCTCCTTCTTTGGAGGTCTTTAAGCAGAGGCTTGACAACCATATGTCAGGAGTGCTCTGATGGTGTTTCCTGCTTGGCAGGGGTTTGGACTCCATGACCCTTGTGATCTATTCCAACTCTATGATTCTATGATTCAAAATTTTAATCTTAAATATGTTATCACTTTGTAAGACATCCTGTGGAGGGCTATTTTCTCTCTAGAGAAGGAAACGTAAGAACTCCAATTTGGAAATACCGTATGGTTTAAATGGTAGCATTTGTGTGCCGTATGAGTTTTAATAATCAGATGGAAATGTTCTCTGCTCAACTGAATTGTGTAGTAACCTTATGTCCTTAAAGACAGCTTGCATTTTGCAGTCATGCATATGTTTAGTGTCTGCAAAAAAGCGGGACGGGGAAGGGGAAACTTAGTTTACTTAGACGTGCAGAGATGGACATCCCACATTGCTGCATTCTGAGAACATCACAAGAGCTCTGCTGGATCAATCCAAAGGCCCACTTAGTCCAACATCATGTTCTCACAGTGGCCAACCAGATACCTGTGAAAAGCCTGTAAAAGACTTGGGCACAACCATGTTTGCCCTACTTAATAATAAATAATAATAATAGTTTATTTTTTATACCCTGCCTATCTGGCTGTGTTGCTTGTGTGTCATAGGTGGACTTCTCTTGTGTTTGCCTCCCCACCTGCTTTCTGCAGAGCCGTTGTAAAGATTATTGAAATAATACAGTGGTGCCCCGCAAGACGAATGCCTCGCAAGACGGAAAACCCGCTAGACGAAAGGGTTTTCCGTTTTGGAGGTGCTTCGCAAAACGAATTTCCCTATGGGCTTGCTTCGCAAGACGAAAATGTCTTGCGAGTTCCTGCAGGGTTCCCCCCCCCTTTTCCCAAGCCGCTAAGCCGCTTATCAGCTGATCCACTAAGCCGCTTAACAGCTGAGCCGCTAAGCCGCTGATCCGCTAAGCCGCTAATCAGCTGGCCCGCTAATAGCGCTAATTCGCTAATGGGCTTGCTTCGCAAGACGAAAAAACCGCAAGACGAAGAGACTCGCGGAACGGATTCTTTTCGTCTTGCGAGGCACCACTGTATATTGAAGCACTTTTGAACTATTAAAATGTGGTATATAGATGCTATTAAGTACATACTGTTTTTTATATTGAATGCATACTGTTGTCTACAAGAGTGCTGTGTGGGAATGGGACAACCCAAAATACTGTGTCATGTTGTTGCAGGACAAAGCAGTGATAGCGAAGATCTTCCTGCACTGGATAGCTCAAGCAAATGTACTCCAGTAAAACACATTGGTCTCTCCAAGCCGCAGAAGCTCACTCGGTCGCCTGCTAGAGTATTATCCCCAAATATCAAAGATGGGGATAAGGACAAGCAGAGGGACAAGAACCATCAAAACATTTCTCCAAGGGTGTATAAGTGGAGTGTCCAACTCAGTAAGTGCTCCCCCCCCCTTTTTTTGTACAGTAGATAATTTGGGTGGGAAATAGGGTTACAACAGTACATGGATGTTCCTTCTGGATTGTCAAAGCCTTTTCAATTATTTTTTTTCCAAAGATGAATTGGACAACATGAGCAGTGCAGAGAGGATCTCTTTCCTACAAGAAAAACTGCAGGAAATCAGAAAATACTACATGTCTCTGAAGTCTGAAGTAGCCACCATAGACAGGAGAAGAAAACGATTAAAAAAGAAAGACCGAGAAGGCAAGTTCAGTCTTTGTCAGACATACAAGCTTTTGGGTGAGTGGTGTTGTCAGAAGGCTTGTGCAGTTTCTCTTTCCAGACATTGTCATGCGCGCTCTCCGTGTTTATATAACATTTTAATTGTGGAATTGTGACCGAGGCCATTGTCAGTTTTTTAAAAAGGGCATACCATCTGCAACAAGGAGGGATGAAACTGAAATGTATGAAGTGCCTGCACTGGATGTGCCCTTAAGATCTGAGCACAAAGAGACTGGCAGCACCTCACGGGAGCTGCTTTTTGGGTGATGTGGGTGGCTGCTCTGGCAAAGTTGGGGCTAGAAGCAAAAATGTGCAGGTGGCACCCCACCTCTTGTAGCACAGCATATTTGTACCCTCTTAACTTTTTCTTCCATGTTTCTTCTTCAGTTTTGGATATTTTTTTGACTTTTTCACCCACAAGGTTGTTTCCAGCCCCTCCTCTGCATGTGTGCCCCATTTGGCACAACATAGTTTGTCATAGTTTGAGGGCTTGCTTTAGAGCAGAGGGTCCTGCAGTCTTCCAGACCAGTGTTTTTCAACCTTTTTTGGGCAAAGGCACACTTGTTTCATGAAAAAAAATCACGAGGCACACCACCATTAGAAAATGTTAAAAAAATTAACTCTGTGCCTATATAGACTATATATAAAGTAATTCTCTTGAATAGGAATCAAATAAACACAAAGAAAGTATTTTATAATTACTTTATTATGAAATAGTAAGTAAACAGAAATATGAAAAATTATAAAATACTTTATTTTTAAATCTTTCGAATTTTTCAATTTCCCACCACGGCACACCAGGCAACATCTCGCGGCACACTAGTGAAAAACACTGTTCCAGACGATGTTGGAAAACAACATCCACTGCTGTCCGTTGGCAATACTGGTTGGGGCTGATGGGAGTTTGGAGTACACAGCTGGAAGGCCAAACAGGTTCCCCACATCTCCTTTAGTGATTCAGCATTAACAGGCCTAGATCCCAATTAACAGTGAGAAAAGCTGGTTCAAGAGTTGGCAGTACCTGGCAGTATTCAAATGAGTGACTTTGGGGGGATAGCTTGTTTTCTCCTGCTCTGGAAAGTAGGACTTGAACTAATGGCTTTAGGTTACAAGAAAGGAGATTATGACTAAACATCAGGAAGAACTCTCTGACAGTCCAAGCTGTTTGACAGTGGAACGGTCTCCCTTGGAAGGTGGTGAACTCCCCTTCCTTGGAGGTTTCTAAGCAGAGGTTGGATGGCCACCTGTCATGGATGCTTTAGCTGAGATTCCTGCATTGCAGCCGGTTGGACTGGATGACCCTGGAGATCACCAAAAGCACAGTGATCACCTACGTATATTGGTAAAAGGGTGCGTTAATGCTTTTTGTATTTTTTTTTTTAACAGTGTCTCACACAGGAGCTTCCATGTCCTCTGCCTCTTCAGACACTGGAATGAGCCCTTCGTCCTCCTCTCCTCCACAGAACGTGCTTGCTGTTGAATGCAGGTGATACTGGTCTCCTCTGCCTTGTGCAGCAAGTCGCTGTCATGGACAGAAATCCCGAAATACCATAGAAAGCACTCAACTGGTTTGACATTGCCAAGTATATTCTGTATACTCTTCCACTGCTGGACTGTGTCTGTCTCTTCTCCTCATACCCCTCCCTCCATCTTGTCATTGTGGATTTTTTTTATTTTTTTAAAAAAACTTTATTGTGGATATTAATTAAGCTAATTGGCAACTGAAGGTTTGTGGGTGCACTTGGACACGGACACCTCTGTCTTTGTGCTTATTTTTTGGTGTTTGTTTTTTTTTTTGGTTAAAACAGAAAAGGGCACTTAATCAAATTTGGAAACCTGGATAGCCAATGAAGCATTTGAGTGCTATTAGGAAATTTTTTTTTTTTTTTAAGGAGCAAGTGCACCAAACAGTCATCAAAATAGGTTAATCAGAAAATGGAATTATTGCTGCACTTTTTTCACCAAGCTGTATCTTAATCCTGAGTGAGAGTCCCTTTTCCCCCCATTTCTTTTCTTTTTGGAGAAGCACTTGCTGTACAGACCTGCCAAAGTGTGTATTCAGCAATGTTCCCAATTTTAATGGTGTAAATTGGACAAAATAAATTGTGAAAGGAAGCGTAGTTGACTGGAAACTACCGTTGTAATGAGTCTTCCACTTTTTATAGGATTTTTGAGCACACGATTATGCAAATATTTTAATGTTTAATGTTTACAGTGGAATCGTGAATAGGTTTTCAGTGGACTATCTTATCCCTTGACAAAAGTATTTTGTCTTTTTTTCTATGTAATTTCAGAGTTTTTATTTTGTTACAAAAAGGCAAAAAATAAAATATATAACAATGAAGTTATTTAACAAGATTTCTAAAGCTGAATTTTTTTGTGTAAAATAAGGTATCTTGCAACTTGTTAAATATATTTATTCAGACATTGGATGTTGTATTTTTATGTATTTTTAAAAAAATATTAATAAAATTGGGGAGAAAAAGTCTAAGTTAGGTTCACTCTTTCAATAAAATATACCTGTCACTTAAAAATCATATACAGGTGGCTTCATGTACCATACCTGTATGTGAAGTGGTTTTGTCTGTTCAATCTTCCACAGTGTAAAACTATAATCTGGCATCTGGATTAAACTCTATCCTGTCTTGAAAACTTTGGCAATCCTAGTACTTCTGTTGCTTTTGAGGAACAAATCTTTGGTTGCCCTTACAATGCTTTTGTCACACTTTCTTATTTGCTGTACTGTTGAAATCAGTTTTCTATCTGCCAAAGTTGATGAGCATAATTGAGAAGAGTTAAAATGACTGTTTCGGCTGTGGATTGTCCCACAGACTGAAAACAGTTTGTAAATAACTTTCCCAAAATCATGTATTTAAGACAGTTTGCATATACATTCTGTATAAAGTGATTTTTTAATCAATTTTTTAAAATTCACCTTTGTACATTGAAAAGGGGTTTTCTGCCTTTTCCATGTTAATATACTGTAGAGTTATAACTCAGATTCTCTAGACTGTCAGGATATTAAAGGTTCACAAAACCTGAAGGTCTTGAGTGAGAGACTCCAGTGAAATGGTCATGTAGCTAAAGCCTGGTGTCTCTTCCAGTTCCATTTTATCAGTTTCTCAAACTTATGATTCCAGTTCCTTCCATTTTCACAGAGATCTAAAGGAAAAAGTACTCTTGTAAAAATGCACTTTTTCTGTCTTTTTCTTAAGCAGAGCTATTTCAATGTATGATACAAATGAAGCTCGATGAAGAGCATTAATAAAGGTTATGTTTTTAAACATAGGCTTTATTTTATTTTTAACTGATTTTGTAAAACTGCCATCATGTCCAAACAATAGATAATGGCTTCATAATGTGCTGTAAAGATTCTTCAAAGCAAACTTGGATCATATATTTTAATAATAAAAGAAGTTATCATTATGATAAAAACTTGGTCAGATGTAATCATGCTTAATATTGCTTTCAGCAACTATTAATCTGAGCCTAAAACCATTTTACTTTGTTGTAAAATTAATACCCTGTTCTTCAGTGGCCAAGAAACATAGACACATTCTCAAATATTAATCCTTTATCGGGTACCTTGAGCCATCTAGATGCATTTAAATTGCAAAATGCTTTAAAGTGCTGGCGAACACTTTGGGTTATAGCAGTTCATTAGAACACTCAACCTTAGCTGTTGTGAAAATATGAAAATGAGGTTGGGTAAAACTGAACATTTGTAGTCCAACTAAAAAGGCTGAAAAAGTTTGTCCTCTCTGGGGATCGCTACTAATGTGTGTAGTTTATCCAAAGCTGGGTGAACAGCTTTAATAGGATGGTATTACTCTACAAAAATTTGCTTCTCAAAACAATTAGACGTTGAACAAAGCTCCAGTTGTGGGACTAGATAAAGCAGGGTAGCTATATAGATATATTTTTTTAATGCTGTAATTTTGTGCTTCTGAAACTGGCTTTTTAAGAAAAACTAGCTGAATAGCCCAAAACCATAGTAAGCTACAAAATCATTTAAAACTACTCTTCAGGATCAGTGTTAAATAAAATAGAGGAGGGGGAAAACACTGGATATCATATTAAGGCCTCCAAGTCTGCAGTTAAAAGTCTAAGTTGGAGTGAGAAGGTGTTGGGCAGAAACCTTATTTAAAAGATTTTTATCCTGCCCTTCATCTCAGGTGGGTTATAGCAAGCCAAGTAAAATATAGAGTACAACTCAGTATGCCCGCACTAAAACATGGTTTAAAATTCAGAATATTCAGCACAGACAAAAACTACTATGCACAGCTCATAGCTGGGTCCCAAGTTGCATTAAAGTCAGCACAGTGGTACCTCGGGTTAAGTACTTAATTCGTTCTGGAGGTCCGTACTTAACCTGAAACTGTTCTTAACCTGAAGCACCACTTTAGCTAATGGGGCCTCCTGCTGCTGCTGCACCGCTGGAGCACGATTTCTGTTCTCAACCTGAAGCAAAGTTCTTAACCTGAAGCACTATTTCTGGGTTACCAGAGTCTGTAACCTGAAGTTTATGTAACCTGAAGCGTATGTAACTTGAGGTACCACTGTACCTTAAATTGGTCTCTGTGACAGGGCAGATGATTCAGAATTAGTGTTGAACGTACCTGGGCTGCCAGCCTGTTAGCACCCTGCTTTCACATTCAGGTAGAGCACATGACAGCTGTCAAATTGAGACGCGACCTGGGCTTGAATAACTAGCCAGCCAAGCTTTCCCTGTCAAGGAACGGCTGCAGCTGGTGTAGCAGATAGAGCTGGCAAGAGGCACTCGTGTCACAGAGGCCACCTGAGACTCCTTTGACAAGGTGGGATCCAGAACTTTAGGAAAACTGGGTACTTTGGATACTTTAGGGGGAGTGTGCAATGCAACTCGGAACAGCCTGTGCAACAAATAACCAGATCCAGGAACCAGCAGGTTACAGCACCCATCTGGTCAGGATCCCCACTTCAGTTTAGTCACTGATAAACAATTGGAGAGGGAAGCATAGACCAGAGAGCAGCCTGCATCCATCAAACACAATGGAGAGTGACTCAGAGTGCCTAATTCCAGCTGGAAGCTTTCAGGAAGCCCAGAGAGAAAACAAAGGCAAAAGAGTGAAATGCTTGCTCTTTTGACTTCGCCAGGTTCGTAAGGGATAAAGACGAATGGAGCAAAAGTGTCCCTCTTGGCAACCCCATCTCTGCAAGGTGGTGGTTTAGTTCTGCAGTGGTGCCTAAATACTATCTTGTCACAAAGCGCTTAAAATTCTATATTGGGACTAAAAGGCTTGTGCACCTGGAGAATCCGTCCCGTCCAAGCATCCGTGCACCGGATTGTCTCCAGAGAGCCCTTTGGTGTGGGTGCTGCCTTCTCCCCACCCAACCCCTGGTAGTCAGTAATATACTGCCTCTGCCCCATGCCATTTACTTTGGCAAGGTTGCAGGGGCCTATCAGCCCATCAGAAGCCCCCATCTTCCAGAAGCACAAAGCAAACTGAAATGTTCAATCTATTTGATACGCTTGCTTCCCTTCCTGCTCTGACACTTCCCTCTCCTTCCCTGTCCCCCAGCCAGAAATCCAGGCACCGCTTCCAAAAGTTTGTCAAATCAGCGGTGGCTCCAGAAAAATAATTTGTGGGGTGCAAAAGGGGCAAAGTTGTGCCCCACATGTTGAGAGCCAGTGGTGGTGTGCAGCGGTTGTAGAGCTCCGGACTGGGACCTGGGAGAGAGTCCAGGGTTCAAATCCTACCCCACAAAGCTCACTGGCTATGGGGGCCAGTCACAGCCTAACCTACCTCGTGCCGGATTTACATATAAGCTACACAAGCTATAGCTCAGGGCCCTACTCTCTTGGGGGCCCCCAAAAAATTAAAGGGGAAAAAACCTGGATGTACATTTCCCAAAGATAAGGTACAAAACAAATACAGTGGTACCTCTGGTTGCGAACGGGATCCGTTCCGGAGGCCCATTCGCAACATGAAAATCCCGCAACCTGAAGCGCCGTATCTGTGCAGGTGCGCAGCGTGATTTGACACTTGTGCGCATGCGCAAAGCATGCTTTAGCACTTCTGTGCATGCGGCGAAACCCAGAAGTAACCCTTTCCGGTACTTCCGGGTCGCCACGGGATGCAACCTGAAAAAACATGAAGCAAACGTAACATGAGGTATGACTAAAATAAAACCTACATACAGCAACAGTGTTTTGTGTTGTGTCGGCTCCTATGATGTAAGTCATGGTCCCCGCCTGCTAACCTGATCCCTAAACTATCACTGGTTTGCTCGTTTCTATATATAGGGTGCCTACATTCTGCATGAACAACATGTGCAAATGGCTTTAGATACATACCTGTTAGGTCAGTGATGGCCAAACTTGGCCCTCCAGCTGTTTTGGGACTACAATTCCCATCATCCCTGAGCACTGGTCCTGTTAGCCAGGGAGATAGGAGCTGTAGTCCCAAAACAGCTGGAGGGCCAAGTTCAGCCATCACTGTATTAGGTCCATAAATGACCATATAGCATATATTCAACACAAAAAACTGCAACAATTTGTTGTTGACAAAGGACAGCTGGACATATCAAGGGCCCCATTTCCTTCAGTAGCTTAGGGCCTCATCAAACATTAAATGAAATGCCTTGAGCTCAGATGGGGGGGGGGGGAAGGGTAGATTATGAATGCCATAATTAATAAACTCCTGAAAGGGAAAATGAGTGTAGTTTTCACAAGGAGAAGCCTGTGCAGTTTAGTGGTCAGAAGTTGCAGACCGAGACCTGTGAGGACCTACTTCACAGGGTTGTTGTGAAGGTATAATGGGGCAGGACTGGAGGGAAGGTGGGACATAAATGCCAATCAATCAATCAATCAATCAATCACCCAAGGCTATTACCATTTATTCATCTTTCCTTTCTATACCAACCGCTTTCTATATTAAGGGGAAACCTCGAAGCGGTTCGCAGCGCCTTCAAGCCACTGAGGAGACTTAATTGTGTGAGAGAAGAAGAGAGAGACGCGCCAAGGCCGCCGCCTCGCCTCCCTCCTTCCCTCTCTCCCCTGCGGTCGGCAACGGGCGCCTGGGCGGCCATGGAGCGCTGGGCGTGGCGGGCGCTGCCGTGGCTGGTGGCGGGCGCCTGCGGCCTGGCCGTGCTGGGCTACTGCCTCTACTTCGACCACCGGCGCCGCAGCGCGCCCGACTTCAAGCGGAGGCTGAGGGAGAGTGAGTGGCGGGGGAGGCCTCGCCTTCGCCTCAGGGGAAAGAGGGGGAGGAGGAGGAGCCGCCGCCACCGGGAACTAGGCCCATCCCCGACGAGGGGGCTGCCGGACTACAACTCCCATCAGCCCCAGCCGGCGTGGCCAGCGGAGGAGGAGGTGGGAGTTGTAGTCCAGAGGCCTCGGGAGAGGCTTGCGAAGGCGTTGGGCCTTACGCAGGTACCCTTCCTGGCCCGTTTAGGCAACCGTCTTAATCAGGCATAGGCAACCTGGGCCCTCCAGGTGTTTGGGGACTACAGTTCCCATCATCCCTGGCCACTGGCCCTGTTAGCTAGGGATCATGGGAGTTGTAGGCCAAAAACATCTGGAGGGCCGAGGTTGCCTATGCCTGGTCTTAATCAACACTTTTTTGGGGGGGAAACCCTCCCTGCGAGGTAGTCCTACGACTCCATTTCCTAGCACATCTTTTCCTCCAAGGAATTTGAGGTGGAAGGCATACTCCTTTCCCCATATGGTTTCAGGGTGGTCCTCCTGTTCTGCTCCAGACATTTGGTCCACACATCTATGTATGTGCTTGGTTGGTACATTTATGAACATTTATTATTATTATTATTATTATTATTATTATTATTATTATTATTATAGTCATACCTCGGGTTACGGACGCTTCAGGTTGTGCGTTTTCGGGTTACGGATGCGCCGAAACCCGGAAGTACCGGAACAGGTTACTTCCGGGTTTCGGCGCATGCGCAGAAGCAGCGCTGCGGGTTGCGAACACTGCGGATTGCGAATGTGCCTCCTGCACGGATCACGTTCGCAACCTGAGCGTCCACTGTATAAGACCTTATTTTTTTTATTTCAATACACTGAAATGTTTAACAGTTTCGAGTGTCCTTGAATCTTCCTGCCACACTGGCCACACTCTCCTGCCATGCGCGTTGAGAACCACTGTTCTAGGGTTTCAGGCAAGAGTCTTTTCACGATATACCTGGAGATCCCAGGATATTCGGCATGCAAGGGTGCATTCTATGACTTGCATATTAATCTAATCACCATGTTCGCCTTTCAGTAGTTGTAAAGCAAGGGGAGTGTTT